ATACATGATGGCACTTCCTGCTTCGTATAACTTGGTTTTATTTCCATGTCCTGAACGTTGAAATAGAAACTATCATGGGGTGCATTGCATCTAATGCCTAGCATCTTTGCTTCGCTCAAATCGTCAATTTCTGAAAAGTCCTGATTCAGCAAACTGTCCTTTGGTAGGTCAGCTGAATTTTCCTCTCATTTTCGTAATGTTCATATAATTTCTGCCACGCGGTAGCAAAACCATCACTAGTTAATGGAGATCTCTTGACGATGGCTTCTCCTCGAGTTTTGTGATTAAGGTGGTATAGTTTTTCCACCGGGTCAAACGGGAATTAAAACTATGTATTGCGATAAATAAACCCCGGAAGGATGGCCATGCCATATAGTCACCGCGAAATTTTTCGGTACCGCAAGGGGGCATATTACCGGATTGCAGAACTCACCGTTGACGAACTTTTCTGAACAAATGTTAGGTTAAAGATGGTTTCACCCATCAATGCCACGTATGACTGCGTAGCAACCCGCTGTCTCTTCATTCGCTATGTCCATATAAGCAAATAGCTCTTGCAGCTCGCCGTTCCATCTTCTACGGTATTCGTCGTTGCCAATGCGTAAAGGACCATAAAATATAATGAAATGCAAGGCAAAAAATTCAAAATTTTAAACTTAACGAGGCAAGTTGAACCAATTCAACGTATGGCCAAGTTCGCAAACTTAACATTTGAAACACAACTATTGAAAATGTATTTTAAAGGGGCTATTTGGTACTTCTTTTAATTACTTTAAATGAATTAAATGCAATTAATATTTATATTTCCTGTACCAAGCCAAACACGTATCTTATACCGCGAAAATTCGATAAAATGGTATAAAAGTAGGGATGCAGTTGTTTATTTAAAAAAAAAATAAATGGTAAATGGGGGTGACTAGAGTACTTCCGCGTACCAAGTCACGTACGTATTAATAAGTTTGAGAAATATAAAACATTGCATTGCAGGTAAGGATGGTACTTTCGCAGTACCCGATTATAGAAGTAAGGCAAAATATATTCAAATTGTCCGCAATATGAAATTGTAAAATACAAATTAATAAATGCCACGTTCCAATTCACATACGTATTTATAAGATTGAGAAATATAAAAAATGGGTTATTATAAGCAAGTAAGTAGGGAAACTTTGCTGTTCCAAACTACAGATATAATATATTAAAAATTGTCCACAATATTAATGAATTGAATTGCAAGAACTCACCCATAACGATAATTTTTGGAAAAATATTCGCTGGGCGGTTGGTATCGGCCTCGCTGCATCTGTTGAATAAGGACCGTTGGTATGGGCCTTGTGGTTTCTGTTGGGCCGTTAGCCGCACTGCCGCCTAATATTTTGGCAACTAACTGCCGGTGAGCAGGACTTGCGACTTACCTCGTGCCATAGTAGCCACAAGAAAAATAAACAAAAAATCTATTGTCGCATTGACGCCTTACCGTATGACACCTATCGCCGGCGTTCAGCCCTCGCGCCTCATCTCATGGCCGCACGACCTGCGCTGTTATTTTAAAAATTAAGAGAAAAATGATATACGTCGCACTGACGCTTGGCTGTATGGCACTTAATGCCGATCTACAGTACTGGCGCCGAACTTAATGTATCTGCGGCCGGCTCTCCAAGCCGTTTATTAGGGCTACGCTTTACGTTGTGGCACCGCCATTTGCCCGCTTTCCCTTTTTGCATATTTTTTCACTTCGTAGTGGGTTGCTTTGCCTTTGGCTATTTCTTAATCTACGCGTCCACTCGTTTTCCACTTTTTCTTAGTGCACAGCCATTATGTCACATAGTTAAAAACATAACCACCAATAGTTGTGCACTGTTGTAGATGATTGTACCTTCTCTACAGAGAACGTAGAATATAGAAAAGGTGCAAAGCCAGCGTTTCTGACATTTCTGGCAGAAAAATTTCGTTTGGTGCCATTGTCATTTCCTTCTCGTCTTGAATTTCTGTTTCACCTCGATATGAAAAATTAACGGAATTAAGCGTATTCAAACACACCAGAGAACTAAAATCTATGCAAATGTAAATTGACGGCCACTTTTATTTACTTTTATCATATACAAATTTCTCTTAGATGACCATTTGCTTATACATATTTCCATATACTCACATGCTTATTATGTATGTACATATGTACCTCTTATAAACTTTTAATAGTACCTATTAGTATTTAAAGAGGCATAATAAAATACTATACTTATTAAACATTATTTATTTTGGGAGGTAAATATCGAAACAAGTCAAAATTAATTCATATAGTCATTCTAGCGTTTGAGGATACGTACACACATATGTACCTATGTAGTAAGTACGCATGCACGCATGCATATATACACATAAAATCATATTGTTACGATTTTGCTGAATAAACCTCGATGAGTTTCTGAATCCTTCGGGTACGATCTCTGGATTGTTAAATAAAATATCGCCAACTCAATTTGCAGTTTCTTTCGTTACAAAGAATTTATCTAATGTCCTTTATTTATTCAGTAATTCACAATTCAATTACAATGCACTTTACTAGCTGCAATCACTTGCATAAACATTCACAATTTACTTTACTTAAATGTAATCTCCAACGCGTTTACTTTACGACTCAAAAAGTTTATTCCGTTATGCTCTCGTCGTTTGTTGACGGCGGGTTGAAAGAGGGAAGGGCTTGCGCATTTTTAATATTGTGTGCGTTTCTCGTATACATATTAAAATGCTTGAATGTACACGTATGTGTTTTTATTTTGCCGCTGGTTCAACATCAATTTGTAACTTTTGACAAAATTTTTGACCGAAACAACTTGAGGGTGGAGGGAGCGAAGGGAAAGGGATCGCACATGGCTTTGTGTGTATTTGTATTTTGTATATATAGAGGAAGCTCTTAATATATTGGTTTGCGATTTTTGCTCAACTAATCTAAGTATCTATTGTTTGGTTCCACTCGCATTTATTCTTCCTTTCATGTTTTAGTTTGCGACCGTCACGAGAAGCAGGTGTTGATACGGGCAAGCGGGGTTATGTGTTCGACGGTCTTTATGAATGAAAGCATTTTGCTTCATTGTATGGCGCATGCGTTATGAATGAAAACTTTTTCAAATAAATATTTTACAATATACATATATTGTATGTATGGAGATATGTGAGTTTCTGCATTTGGATAACAGAGGCACGTGCAAACGTTTGCATGGTTAATGTAAAAGCTTATTTATTTGGTACAAATCATAATAATATTCATTTGTATGCATATATGTCGAAATATATAAGTTTAAAATAAAAAACATTGATTTATTTTGGAAATCTGCTTGTTCATTGTGAAAACGGAGAAAATGCTTCTCATATACCAATGTGTTGGCATGCCCAAGTATATTTTTCAAAGTTTTCGGGAGAGCAGTTTGAAAGTTCAGCCTATCATACGTCTCCAACCGAATTTTGATAGGTTTTATGCAAATAATTTCAGTTCTAATAGGAATAGAACCATCAATTGTAAGTATTATGTAGATATTGACCTATTGAAAACGATAGTGAGGATATTTCACTTTCGTATTAAGTTGAGTTAGGCCATGTGTACATATGCAAAAATTAAAATGCCGTCGGCAAATTTTGCGATATTTTTGTTATTTTTATCAATGTTACCAATTTACATTCTGTTTACAAAGTAACATACTGTTACGCTCAACTCTATTCACTAACAGAAAGTTTTGCGAATCATGTGAGGAGTGTAGTACGATTACGTGAAACGAAGTAATCGTGCTTTTTGACAATTTCCATTCTGATCCGTACTTGCACCTTCTCTATGTTATACGTTCTCTGTTCTCTATTCAGCTCTTTAAGTTTGCTCTAGTATCAACTTAAGGAAATTACACTATAAAGAAAAATCTTGTATGAAACCTGGTTTGGTATCGAATGGCTCGGAGAAGTCCTTCCCAAAGTTTTAATGCGCTTCTGGTTTTGCCTAGCGCCAGGTTACCCAGCCGTATAAGTTTTGTAGGGATACCGAATTCTGACATAGCGGCGTATAGGTGCTGTCGAAGACTGCTTTAAAATCGACGAAAAGGCGGTGTGTGTGAATCCCCTTTTCACGGGTCTTTTTCAAGTTTTGGCGCATGATGAATATCTGGTCAATGGTTGACTTATCAGGTCTGACACTGATAAGGTCCCATCAGTTTAGTCTTTCACACAATATGCTTCATAGGACCTTATATGCGATATAAGAGAGGCTTATTCTACGGTAGTCGGTGCAGACTTTCGGATCGCCTTTTTTGTGGATTAGGCAGAGCACACCAAGGCTCCAATCGGAGTGCGTGCTCTCATCCGACCATATTTTGCAAAAAAGCTGATGCATGCACCTAATCAGCTCTTCACTGCCGTATTTGAAAAGCTCGGCAGGTAATCCATCAGTATCCGCCAATTTGTTGATTTTTAAGAAGGCGGTTGCTATTCGAGCCTCGTCATAGTCATCAATTGGATTCTCGGGTTCACCATCTCCGGGTGTTGCATTTTCACTGCAATTCAGCAGTCTGTCTTGAAACCTTCCGTAAGTCGCCGTATCTTTTAATAAAATTTTGAAGCATTACCCTTGTCGGCCAGCTTCCTAAGCTCTTCATACTCAGGCATTTCGGCCTCTTTCTTTTTTTCCTGGAAATATGTTTTGCTTCCCCTTTCAGCTCTCAGCCTTAATCACTATATCTGTCGGTACTAAATTTTTTATTACAAATATTTTTTTTATTTGTTATTCAAAAAGTCCATTATCCCACTATTTGCAAACCACACCAATAATTATCAGTTTTATCAACATTTCTTAATCTTGCTCTACCATCATTTTAATACAACCTACAAACATACATGCACATTATTTTATGTATTTGGAAAACTTAATATGCCCTGAATATACACTTCTTTTGGTATTAGTATTAATCAAATATCAATTATTCCTTCAGTTATTATTAATACCTATTTGGTTTCTATTACAGCTTAACACACCCGAATATTGTACAACTTTTGGAGACCTTTGAAGATAAATCCAAAGTGTATTTGGTAATGGAATTGTAAGTAGTTTCTTCTTTAGTAAAATCAATATATGTGTATCTGTGGAAATAAATATATTAGATCTTGAATCAAGTTAAGGCAAAAATAGTTTGAGGTATATTCAGGCTTTTCCAGGGGTCTTTTCCACGATTTGGCGCATGTTGAATATCTGGTCAATGGTTTACCTACCATGTCTGAAGCCGCACCGATAAGGTTCAATCAGTTTGTTGACGGTGGACTTTAGTCTTTCACACAATAAGATCGACAGGACCTTATAGGCGATATTAAGGATGCTTGTCCCACCTTAGTACGATACTATAACGGTACTCGAAGACGGAGACTTTCTTCCACCACAAATCCGACACCAAATTTGCGCTCCCTTATATTACCGTTGTAGTAGATGTCACAAGAATTTACTTGGTTTCGTCCTTGTCCCGTCTATCGAATTTCTTGGACGGCGGTGACGTCGCATTTAAGGGACCGAATTTTCCAGGTCCATACCCTCAAATTATTATCCTTAATTCGTTGCGAGAGGTATCTCATCCGAGGCATTGTTATATTTTTTTACTGGGGATGGTTTCTACTTGGCGGATCCGAAACTCAGCGCACAACCTCACTAGGAGAGTAAGTTTAAGGTTTTTACACATTTATATAACGTTTTTGCTTGCTTCAAGACCGACACCCGCTCGCAGTCCCGCCTCTGGTGAACAGACGCTGCGCCGAATAGGAGGAGTTGCTCCACTGAAGCTTCCTCTCTCAGAAGCCGTGGCCCAAGCCTCCAGACGGGTTGGTTGCCGCATCTTCTACAAGGGTTGCATACCCAGAAGATTGCCTACACCCCATTATACGCCTTGCACTCACTCCCCAGGAGCTATTTGTGTCATTTTATTGTAGTTTAATTAGTTTTTTTTCAATTACTGGAATTTTAGTCGTTTTCTGTATTTTGTTCTGCACTCACACTGTAACTGGTTTTATGATTTTTTTTTTTGTTCTCCACTGTAATCCACCAAATAGAAATTAATTTTATATATTCAAAATATTTTATTTATTTCGCTTTCTTAAATACAAAATTATTTCTCTGTTGTTTTTGTTTTTAATAGGTATTCATTTTGGATATTTTAGGTATTTTTTCTTAATAATATAAGTTTTTTTTTTCATGTTTTACTGTATATATATAACCTTCTTGTCTGCCGCACCGCTCTTGTACTATTGTGGTACTACTTTTTTTGTTGTTTAGTTTTTTTCTTATTGCATTTTCACTAATCACTTTTTAGTTTCATAATTATTTAATAAATTATTTTATTATATTTTATTAATGTATTTTTAATATTTTCACAATACTTTTATTTAATTCACGTGCGCTCTTCTTTTGTGATTTTTCCAATTTTTTTCTCTGACCGCTCGATTTTTATGTGTAATGGCCGCTGTGGCCGTCGGGTAGAGTAGTGGTGTAAATTCGTTTAGGCATTGAAAGAACCATGTTTAATGTTGTGAGATTTACCGTGTCGATGCGTTGGGGGTTGAAAAACATTTGGTTGATTGTGGCACAGATGGCTACGATAGCGTACAAAACGTTTTGTGAGCGGAGATGATTTGAAACTCTTGACGACATTGGGCAGTCCAGTATTTTGCTCCGATTGGCATTTAGCTGCGTTGCCACCTAAGGGAGATGACAACAGATTACTCTGAAAACGTAAGGAGATCATTGCTCTCAACTTAAGGTATGACTCATATTACATTATGTGTGACGGGGAAAAGGTTTCCAGTTTTGGCGTAAATTTGATTTTAAAATACTTGGTTTCACTGGCCTTGACTCGCCATATTTTTAACCATTAGTTATTTCAATAGGGGTTATTTAGAATTTCATGGTCACTAGATTAAGCAGACCGCGGCCGCAATAGCCGCGTGGTTAGCATTGCGTACTTGTTCTCGGATGGCCAGGGTTCGAATCCCGGTACGAAAAATATTCAAAAGGTACAGAAAATTAATTTAAATAAAAAATAAGTTAAATTTTCTAATGGTGGTCGAAAGGTCAACCTCTCCGAGTGTACTTCTCATATAAAATAAAGACTCTACATAATAAACTATCAGCCGTTCAGATGCAGCTTAATATCTAATGTTGGTCATTCCATTTGTTGAAAAAAACATAAAACCACATGCCACAAACAGGAAGAGGAGCTTGGCTGAATGTCGATACGATTGCAATGATGATTATAGCTTGCATCCTAGCATCCTAGCATCAGTTTCTCAGGATTATGCTTCCTTAGTGTTAAAGTAAAATTACCATTGATGACTCCGCAACCTGAGCCATTGTATTCATTGCTTTGGTGCGAAACACCAGAAACACGCCACTTTCTTGCAAACACTCAAAAATACATTGGTTGTTTCAAATTGACGTCATTTGGAGAAGATATTATCGAAGAGCGAGGATTTAATCCGACATTTAAGATACAATCCCCGAATCGGATCATCGCTATGACTCGAATGCTTAGCATAAATTTTTACAAATATATTTCATAGGCAACATGCAAGAACAACTTAATCGACGTGAAGAGATCAATGCAAGAATAAAGCGAGCAAATCTTCAAGATTTGCAGCAACTGCTTCATGAACATCATGCGTTTGTCATGTTGTTTAAGAGTGTCAGGATGGCAACTTCATCTATTGTTGTGCGTCCATGGGTTAGAGCGCATGCCAAATGATGACTATAAAGTTGTCATAAAAGATGATAAACTACCATCTGGAACCCATGGACGCACAACAATAGATGAAGTTGCCATCCTGATTTTCGATGAACAATTGGAAACACGCGATTTTGTGCTTACACGTCGCGATACTAGATAACTGCAAAAAAAAAATCTGAAACACATCGATCATATGACACATTGCAATACCCGCTGATGTTTTGGCAAAGAGATGATGGATATTATTTCAATATCAAAATAATTATGATAATCTATTGAATGGTAAAGAAACTACAAAGAAAGTTAGTTTAATGAATTATTATGCATTTAGTTTGGTGATTCGTTAAAATGCTGACCCTTATTTACTATGGTCGATTGTTTCAGCAGTTTGCGTCGACATGTGTCACGAAATAGAAACCAAACACTTCGCTTCGCTTTCATTAGAAGCCAAGCAAGATGAAATGACATATGCTCATCATTACGGTCGTCATTAAGGTCGGCCAATTCTGTCCCTGATGAACTTTATTGTTAAACAATGCGTCTTTGGAGATACTTGATGCTCGATATATTCAATCGAATGGCAAAAGCGAGGCCTCTACACGCACACATTTTTAATTGGTTAGCGGGTAAATTCGTACCGTCATAAATAGATGGTATTATATGTGCCGAGATTCCTGATCACGAAGCCGATCCAGTCCTTCTTGATATTGTAATTACAAATATGATTAATGGAGCGTGTGGCGCCCTCAATCCCCAATCACCTTGCATGGTCGATGGAAAGTGCTCTAAACGATATTCACGGAAATTTACGACGGAGACCGTCACTGGTAACGATGGTTATCCACTGTATCGGCGACGATCACCACATGAAAACGGTCGAGCTGTCACAACAAAAGTGAAAAGAATGGATTTCGTTGTCGACAACAGTGGGATTGTTCCATATTCGCGAATTGTTTCTAAAACGTTCAAGACATATTGCAACATTGAGTATTGCAGTTCAGTAAAGTCTATACCGCAGTCAGTTATCAAGGTGGTCGTTATGTTAACTGTAATGAAGCGATTTGCCGTATATTCGTATTCCCTATTCACGAAGTCATCTACTGTTATGCATTTGGCGGTGCATCTAGAAAATTATCAACGAGTATATTTTACGGCTTCGCATGCTACGCATCGTGCTGAAACACCTCCAGCAACTAAATTGACCAGTTTCTTTACGATCTGCCAAAGCTATTCATTTGAGTGAACTTTTTTTTATTCAGAAATGCCACGTTATTATACTTGGAATGCTTCATCGAAGAATTTTCAAAGACGGAAGCAAGGCGATGCGATTCCTGGGTATCCGGATGTGCGCTCTACTGATGTTCTTGGTCGTATGTATGCAGTTCATCCAAATAATGATGAAAGTTTCTATTTGCGGTTGTTGCTGGCAAATGTGCGTGGGCCCACGTTATTGAGACACTACGGACTGTTAATGGTGTTATATTCCCAACATATCGTGCTGCATGTGAAGAACTGAATTTATTTGAAAACGATGCCCATTGGGATACGACAATCGCTGATGCCATTACTCTGCATTTCCAAGTCAGATACGCACATTATTCGCTATCAAAATTTCGACATGCTTTCCATCAAACTCATATAACCTGTGGCACAAATAATATCTACGAATATAATTTACATGAAGTTTGTGTCACTGGTTGAGATGAATAAGGATGTTGAGATGAATGAGGAGATACATAATCGTGCTTCATTCTTGATCGAAGATATGTGTTATCTCATGTGCGGTAGTTTATTAATCAGGTTAGGAATGCCAGCGCCCAAACGCGATATGAATGACGCATTTAATCGAGAATTGGAAAGGGAACGTGAATATGATCACCAGGTATTAGATTTGATAGTTAAAACGAATGTACCCCTGTTGAGTTTCCAACAAAAGGAAGTTTATGATACTTTAATGAAAGCAATCCATGAGGGAAATGATGGTTTATATTTGCTAGAAGCCCCTGGTGGAGCAGGTAAGACATTCCTAATGCCAGTAGATTTAGAAGGATGCTGTACGGCTCAATCAGCATCAAAATTACATTATCTTCAAACTCTTGAAGAATATTAGATTACGAACAATTCTGCAATGCCCAAAGTTTTATTGGCATCGAAAATCAACATCTGGGACGAATGTACAATGGCACAAAAAATATAAAAAATTAACTTACTAAATTCGAAAATCGGCTTATTTATTGCTTTAAAGGCGGAACAGAGCTCGCCGGGTTAGCTAGTAACTATATATAAAATTTTCGTGTCACAGTTTTAGACACGATACTCCTCCGAAACGGCTTGAC